GAGGACCATTCTAGCACAGAAATGGGTAGTGAATGTACATAGACTTTTACAAATAAGAAATGCAAGTGACTATGAAATACAAAAAAAAAAAAAACCCTTCAGATATAATTCAAGGTATGGAGATTAGGACAAGGAAATGCCTTTTGAAATTAAAAATCAATCGTTATTACCATTCCTCGTCTGCGCTGCCTGCGGAGACAGCAGCCAGCCCCAACTCGGCGTCACACCGCCTTTAGAGCCCCCACGCAGCCTCAGATCGTCACGGAGAGAACCAAGAAGATCAAAATTAAGCCTAACTGGCAGAGACCCAGAGGCACTGACAACAGGGTGCCGAGAAGACTCAAGGGCCTGTTCTCCATGTCTAACGGTGGTGACGGGAGTAATAAGAAAACAAAACACATGCTACCCATTGCCTTCCGGAAGTTCCTGGTCCACAATGTCAAGGAGCAGGAAGTGACAATGCCATTGATGTGCAACAAATCTTACTCTGTGCAATTGCTCCCAATGTTGCTACAATGTTTCCTCTAAGAATTGCAATGTCAAGGAGCAGGAAGTAACAAAGTCGCTGCTGTGCAACAAATCTTATGCTGTGGGATGGCTCTCAATGTATCCTCTAAGAACTGCAAAGCTCTCTGAAGGGCAGCCCACCCGCCATCAGTCACCGGTCCCAATGCCAGGCTAATGATGAAAGCCTGTAGACGCTCATGTGCACTGTCAAGTGCTCTTTTATTTGTGCTAAATAAAAGCATAAAAATGCTGTCAGTAGAAATACACACATAAACAAAGGAGCTCCTACTAGTAAGCTGGCGGAGGCCCTGCCAGAGGTAGAAATGGATACATTTCTGGAGGCTCTACCACAACATCATCAAAAGTCTCAAATCTTTTGCAGAATCTTTGACCCAGTGTGTTTGTTGTCTTTTTACTGCTGTAACAAATTATCACAAAGCTAATGTTTCAAAACAACACAAATGCATTATCTCAGGGTGCTGGAGATCAGAACACCCCCCCTCCTCCAATGGGGCGTGGGCAGCCTGCATTTCTGTCTGAGGCTCTAGGGAAGAATCTGTTTTCTTGCCTTTTCCAGCTTCTCGAGGCTGCCCGCATTTCTCACCTTCCTCCACCTTCAAAGCCGGCAACGTCTTTCTCACCCTGATGTCCCTCTCTCTTCCACTTTTAAGGACGCTTGTGATTACACTGGCCACCCCCCCAGTTCATCTAAAATGATCTCCTATTCTTTTCTTTTTTAACTTTCTGTTGCTCAGACCCACTGGTCCTCTATTTCTGCTTTATTTTTAAAGAGAGAGGGAGAGGGAGGGACAAGGAAAGACAGGCAATGAAACATCAATTGGTTGCCTCTTGCACACCTCCAACCAGGGGCCTGGCCCGCAATCGAGGCATGTGCCCTGACCGGAAATCGACCCGGCGACCCTTTAGTTTGCAAGACAACACTCAACCCTCTGAGCCACACCCGCCAGGGCGCGGTCTCCCGCTCTTAGCGGCGCCTGACAGGCAGCCTTGATTCCATCTGCTACCCAACTTCTGCTTTGGCATGTTCACCTGTCCTGGGGCTTATGTGGTGGACATCTTTGGGAGGCTTTCATTTGCCTACCGCATCCAGATACCCTACTTATAGTTATTTATTATCAAGAAAATAACTATGGCTGAATAGCAATAGGGAGTGGTGTATCACTAGGCTTTCATTAAAAGCAGTGGTGGACAAGACCAATGACGCAGGAAGCAATTATTAAAAAGTTGGTACAACATGCTTCAGCTTGTAATACTTGTGGCTATCTCTCCATTCTAATATCTGTATCTCTAGAATATAGATATAAGCTAGGAAGATACACTCCAGAATTGAACGATATGTTCTAAAAGCCCTCTTTCTTGCATTATTGCTTTTTCAGGTCTTTAATTCAATATTGAATGAATGGATGATTCTCTTCCATCTCTGGCATTGAACCAAGTTTTAAAAATGTACAGAATACCTACTATGTGTCAGAGATCTCTGGGAGTGGGATGTGTGAGTTTTATTTTTGTAATTTTACTATGTTTTCTAAAATCCACAACAACCATATTGCTTCTGTCAAAAGAAAAGTTCACTTTTTGCCTTATTTTGCTTGTTTTCTCTTATTGCTTAGCAGGCTGTGTTTGAGACTAGAGCAAATATGCACCCACGGTCACTTCCAGTGCCCAATCTCCAACGGGGCCACCCATGCATGGACTTCCCTCCGGGGAACAGGGGCCCTCTCGGCCCCCTCTGTTCCACTCCCCCACCCCCGACCTAGAGCGGGACTCCGTCCCATAAACATTTGTTGAACTGAGAGGTTCCAAACTAGGACCCTATTTTCCCTTCATTCCCCACATGGGGTTAGCATCGTACGGTTTACCTAAACCCCAGAGCCAGTTACTCAGTTTTTAGCTGCCTCCCTTTGGGGTAGCGAGTCCTCTCATCCTTGGGTTCCCTGGAGTTGTGCTGGGTGCGTTTCCAGGCTGTGAGGGGCCAGGCTCTTCGTCAAGGGCTGAGTTTTGGTACCGCGGTCTCAGCCTGTTGTCCCCACCGGCCATCCCTGCACCACCCCGCCCCCAACCTGGGGCTGGCAAGGATGGTAACAACTCAATAATAACAACAATAATTACAGAGCCAAATTCGCAGGAATCCTTTTGGGTGGGTCTCTTTGTCATCCCGTTGCACAGAGGATAGGTCAGACTCAGAAGTGACCAGCGAGTGGCCCCCCTCCGCAGCCCCCCAGGACCACACAGCTAGGAAATGGCAGTGAACTCCTTCAAACCCACCTCACCAGCTCTGAAGTCTAAGTTTCCCATCACTGCCCTGCGCTGTTTCTTGGAAACAGATGTTTAAAAATGCTAACGAACACTTACTGAGTGCTCACTAAGCACCAAGTGCCCGCATGTGTCAACTTACTTCATCCGCCTACCTGCCCATTGTGCAGAGGAGACACCGAGAGGGGCAGAAGCTAAGTGGGTGGCTACGGTCCACAGCTCGGAGCTGCGAGGTCTGGATTGGAACCCAGGAGGCCGGAGCCAGAGCCCCGTCACCCCACAGAGGAGCAGGGTATCCCCTCATCCCACACGCAGACCAGCGAATGCCTGAATGGACGGAGGAGGCCGCTGCGGCCGCTAGTCTCGGCGACGGACCCCGGCACCCTGTTCTCCAGCTCTGGGCCTCGCTTTACCAGCCTGTACAATGAAAAGGCTTGGGCCAAGCCTTTTCAATGGCCCTCCCCGGCTCTAGAAGGAGCCTCTGCCTTTCGGCCTCAGTTTCTCCATCTGTCCTCCATGGGAATGGGACGCACAGGATCTCTCGGGCCCTTTCCTGCTCCACAGGCCTATGCTGACAGTACCCGCTCTATGCGCTCGGCCATGGGCCCAGGGGTTCCCCAGGGACAGAGTCCCCACGTGCCCGGGAGATAGTACTTTATTGGTCTGTTCTCTAAGGGAGAAGCTGGGGTCCGAAAGGGAAGGTGACGTGTTTGGGGTCCCCCAGCCATGCAGGACAGAGTGGGGCCCGGAACCTTGTCTCCGGCACCAAAGCTGTCCTGAACACCGGGACAAAAGCCCCTGCTCTGGGCTTGCTGGGTGCTCTGCCAGGGGCGAGGCCCCCCCAGACAGTCCCCGGGCCGAGTCGTGGGCCCACCCTGCCCAGTCCCGCGGGGGGCTGTCCGGCCACACGAACCGCGGGCAGGAGCGCTGGGGAGGTGCCGGCACCCAGGCTGGCTCTTTGGGGCAGCTTTCCCCGAAGGACCCACAACCTCCCCACCCGTGTGCCCCCACGGACTGCTGCGGCCTGTCACTTGCGGGGGGGGGGACACTCGGCCTCACCGCGGGGGGTATTCCTGTGCGGGGAAAACTGACCCCATGCGGCCGGCCTGCAGGACTTCAGGCTTGCCTGCGGGGCGGGTGTCTGTGCGGGAGCCCAGAAAGGAAATGCTGAAGTCCTCCTGGCGGCCTTCTTTTCCATGCGGTGACATTAGGGCTCTGCAGGCGGACAGGGCCACCGGCCCCCTCCTGGGGGAAGACCTGTGGCATCCGGAGAGCACAGAGTCAGCTCGGCCACCAGGGGCCACTTTTCTGAGCTTCCCTCTAAAAACAAAAACAGGAGCAGAGGCCAGAGCCCGCCCCTCTCTCTCCCTGTCACCCATCTGTCAGTCTGGCTGTCGTCTGGCTGTCTATCCTCTAGGAATTCAGCAGGGACCCGCTTCGTGCCCAGCTTGGTTCTCCTTGGGGAGGGCCTGGGGCCTCGTGGGGGTGGGCTCCGAGGGGTGTTGGGTGGGGCGGTGCATGCGCCGGGAGCTTGAGAGTGCGGGGCTTTCTGGGGAAGAGCGCCTAGTGCCGGGCGAGGCGGGCGCGGCGGGCCTCCGAGTCTTTCTGTCAAGCCAGGGACCGTGTGGGGGCGCCGGGGGGTGGGGCGGTGAGGGTGGAGCTGGGGGGTCCGGATCTTCCCTGTCCGCTCTCCGAGTCGCTCCCCGCACCCCTGCGGAGGAATCTGTAAATGGAGGGGGAGGCTGCTAACCCCTCCACTATCGCCCCCCCACACTTGTTGGGGGGTTAAAAACAACAACAACAACAACAACAACAACACAACACTGAAGTTTCCCGCTCCTTGAAATGTGGGTGGGAAGGGCGACACCCTTTCTCCTGCCCCCTCTCCCCGCCCCCAGCCGCCAGCCGGACTCGCGCGGGACCCCCTCCCTGCCCGCAGCCCGAGGGGCGGGGGGGAGGGGCAGGAGGAGAGGCCGGGCGAGGTTTGCTTCAAGAAGGGGCGTGTGGCCGGAGCAGCTCGTGTGTTAGCAACTCGGGAGAGAGCGAGGAGGCAGAGGAGGGGAGGGAGGAAAGTTGGTTCCCCCGACGTCAGCGCCGGGCGGGCCGGGTGGCCACGGAGCCAGGAGGCGGCCGGAGCCGGGCAGAGCGCGGGGCGGCGGGGCGCGCTGGCTGCGACCCCGCCGGCGACCCGGCCGGCGACCCCGGGGCGGCTCGCGGGCATGGACAGCGCGGCCGCCGCCTTCGCCGTGGACAAGCCGGCGCTGGGCCCGGGGCCGCCGCCGCCCTCCGCGCTGGGGCCCGGCGACTGCGCCCAGGCGCGCAAGAACTTCACGGTGAGCCACCTCCTGGACCTGGAGGAGGTGGCGGCGGCCGGGCGGCTGGCGGCGCGTCCCGCGGGGGCCGAGGCGCGGGAGGGCGCGGCGCGGGAACCGTCCGGGGGCAGCAGCGGCAGCGAGGCGGCGCCGCAGGACGGTGAGTGCGGGCCTGGCGGGCGCGGCCCGGGGGCGTGGGAGCGGGACGCGGGGCCCCGGGCCCGCGGGGGCCGAGGCCGGGGGCTCGCGGGGCCCCAGGAGCGCGCACGCGGCAGGCAGCGATGCGGGGCGTGCGGGCTGCCGGATCCCAGGCTGCGAAGGAGCAGGGCACTGGCGGAGACGCTGCGTGTGGCGGGACCTCCCGGGGGTTCGGGCGCCCCGCGGGCGCCGTGGGACTGGCGGCCCCGCGGCCACAGCGGAGGTTGTCTTTCGGGATGGGGTGGGCTGCGGTGACCAGGGCTTTACATTCGGGAGGGGCCGCCCTTTGGCCACAGCCCTCTCAAGTCAAGGGGGTTGGGGAGGAGGTTGGCTGCCTTTGGGCCCAGCCCCGGAGCAGCCCCCGCGGTCCCCCACTCCCAAGCAGCCTGGGAAAGTGGATGTGATTAAACAGCTGGGGAAACTGAGGCTTCCAAGGAGCAAAGAGACCAAGCCACACAATCGGCGTTCAGACTCTGCCCCCCTCCCTCCGTGACGCCACCCCAGCTGCTCCTAGGTCTCCTTAAGACTCGGGTTCCTTGGCGGGGTGCGGGGGCCTGCCCCCACCTCCAGCCTGGCCCACTAGCAGTTCCCTGGGCGGAATGTCCCAGCCCTAAAGAGCCAGCTAGGCCTCTTTTTTCCTGATAAGGTTAAAGGTCATCAGGAAGGGGCTTTAAAAACAAACAACCCACCCAAGTGGCTTTTTTCAAAAAAGTCACACTGGTTGGAAGGGCCCTGAGTCCTTGGTAAGAAGTGGGAGGGGCAGCAAGGGCAGAAAAGGAAGATAAAGCAAAGATCCAGCCCTGGGCAGTGTCATGAATGGGGGCACCCAAGTCCCCACCGCTCACCCACACGCTGAAGAGGAGGTGGGGCGGGCTGGGACCCCTGTCCCGTCCCCCAGCTCTGGAGCACAGGCTAGCCTGTGGGACGCTCTGGGCCTTTAAGAGTCACCCACCACCAGATTCCAGCCGCCCTCCCACTGGCCTCCCGGGGACCCCCACTTCCTGCGCCAGCCTCCAGGTCTCAGGGGAGCCCCGCTGGCTGGCAGCATGCCCTGCTCCTCAGATGACAGGAGGTGCGGGGAGTGCGGCGGGGCCTGCAGCCTCTTCTGAACCCTGGTTGGGGGCATGTGTGTGCGCGTTGGGGGTGGGGGTCACCTGGAGCGTGCCTGCGGCTCAGGGAGTGCCCGGCTGGTGCCAGCTGTGTCCGGCGGCCGCTGGCTCCCTCTCGGTGGCATTCGCCGCCCACCAGCCACAGCGGGCTGACCCCTCTCTTCACCCTCTGGAGTAAACATGAAGCGGACAGACCCATCCCTGGGAGCTAAGGGCACCCTGATGGAAGAGTGGAAGGGAGGTGTCTGGTTTGGGCCAGGGGTAAAGCGGGGTGCCCTCTGGCATGGAAGGGGGCACGCTGCCATCCTCAGTTTGTCCCACGATCGCAGGTCTCGTTGGAGGGCAGCTGGTCACTGGTTTCACCCTGATGAATGGGGGGCCCCAGGGGAGTGAAGAGGAGAGCAAATGGAAGATAAACCCAAGAAGGAAGGGAGGAAAGGGAGGGGAGAGGAGAAGAGAAGGGCGCGGGAGTGATTGGAAGGCTGGAAGGAGGCCTGGCCAGGGGACCGGTGCGCATGTCCACCCCGGCCCCTGGCCACGGGGCCAGGCTTTGCTTCTCCTGGACACATCACAGGCAGTCTCCCATGGAGGGTTTTCCTGGGGAGAACGGCCCATGTCGCCTGGGGACACAGGTGCGTGGCCGGGGCCACAGCAGCGCCCAGGTACCAGGTTGGGTGGCGGGCCTTCTCTACAGCCCCTGCGGCTGGGCAACCCTCTGCGAGCATCTGGGGGGCTTCCCAGCCTTTCCCTGAGGACGAGCTTGCGCACACTGGGAATACCCAGGTGCTGGGGACAGCGGACACGCTGGGTACACAGTCAGGTGGGACGGGCCCCAGGGCAGCAGCCGGCCTGCCCCGGAGGTCAGAGCCTGGGGGCCACAGGCGGAGCCAGGTCCGCAAGGCGCTTACGTCCAGCTCTGGCCTTGTAGGCCTGGCCCGGCCCCGCGCAGCGGACGCAGCCTTTCCAAGCCCCTGCAAATTGAAGCAACCTGGGCAACATGAGGACTTGTCCAGGAAGCTAAAAACTCCAGTTTAAAGGATACTGTTGCATTACTAGGGTTCTATCTTTCCTACTCATTGTTAGTGTTAAGACACACCTTTTTAAGAAATGGAGATAATAACTGCAGATTGTTTTATGTTAATGCCTTGGCAAAATTAAAAGGAGGTAATGCTATACTCATGCATCAGATTGAAAACAAATCACTAGCCCATGAAACCCAAATGTTTAATGTAGAGTCAAGCACCTCCAGAGGCCAGCTGGGCGCATTCCAGGGGTGCCCGCTGCCAGGAGAGAGACCCTGGGGCAGGGGCAGGGTGCCCCGTGGCTGTTCCAGGCCTGCGAGAGTCCCGGGCTGGTCCCCTGGGTCCAGGCCTGCAGACAGAAGGTGGGCCGGGAGGCGCCAGCTGCCTGCGGTCCTTCCCTCTCAGGTGCCCCCTGTCCCCTCTCCTGCCATTGACTGAATTCCCAGTCCAGATGCCTCCAATGGCCGGGGAGCAGGGACCGCTTCCTGATGGGCCCAGCCAGCATCACTGGACCCCAAGTAGGCAGCCAACCCCTGGGGCACCTGCCAGGACCCTGGACCCCAGGCCAGAAGGCGTGGGCCCTGGGCTGTGACTTTGTCCCCGAGTCCTGGGCCCTCAGGGAGCCCTGGCCCCTCACTGGGGATTTGGACAAGCTTGCAAGTGGGATATCTTGTGGCTTCTGGAGATATTTCCAGCCTAAAGAAAGAGACTGCCACCAAAGAGAAGGGGTGTCTCCTATTGGAAAAATAAGAACCAATAGGGAAGCTAATGAGTTAGAAAATTGATATATTTTCAACCTGCCAGGTTAGCAGGCCCAAACATTTTTTAAACATATTTCTTACTCTTTTGTTTTCACAAAGCCCACGGTAGATACAGCGTATTCTTACCAATGGTTTTCCCAGACCAGGCTCCCCCAGCACTGGCCGGGAAGGCTGTGGCTTCGCCGGTGACTCAGAGCAAACCGGGGTCTCGGGTTCCTCCCAAGTCAAACGCTGAGGTCTGCGCCGGGGCGCTGAGCTATGCCAAGCACGTTAGGAAAATAAACCCTCGTTTGCTGCCTTTGCAATGACTTACAACAAAAGAAACCACATTAATAACGGAGATTTTCTTGAAAGCATTCCCTCCTGTGGGCAGGGCGGAAACAGAGATGCAGACACACTGAGAAAATAAACAAAGCCGGGGAGCCAGCGGGGAGCAGCCCCCAGCCCAGGCGGAGGGGCCGCCCCAGAGCAGGGCTGGTACCTGTTTCAGAAAACCTAGCAGGTCCGCCTGCCTGCCTGCCTGCCTGCCTGAGACTCAGGACAGCGGGGAGCCTGCCTGCGGCCCGAGGGCATGGCTGAGCAGGGGGTGGGCTCGGGAGGCTGGTTGGGGTCCCTTGGAGGACCCGCCCCCTGAGCCACATCTGCCACCTGATGACGGGAAGCCAAGGGTGGGTCGCTTGGGGGTGCAGACCTCCCCCGCTCCCAGGGGCCGGCGGGCAGGGCTTGGTGTCTGTGTAGTGGACCTGAAGGGACCACTGAGTTCCAAAGACTGGGAGACTTGCTTTCAATTTTTAAATTTTTTATAGTGGTAAAAGAGAGTTAAATTAAGAGTTATCCTTTTTAAGCGTACAGCTCGGGGGCATTTAAATGCACTCACGTTGTTGCGCTACCGTCACCAGCATTCATCTCCAAAAACTTTCATTTCCCTAAACTCTGTCCCCATTAACCACTGATTCCCCTCCTCCACTCCCTGGCGCCCCCACTCCCCCCCCCCGGCCGATTCTTCTTTCTGTCCCTATGAATTTGATGCTCTAGGTGACACTTTAGGGACCTCATATATGTGGACTCACACAGTATTTGTCCTTCTGGCTTATTTCACAGCATCATGTCCTCAGGGGTCATCCGTGTGGTAGCAGGTGTCGGGATTGCCTTCCTTTTTAAAACGAACGGCACCCCGTTGTGTGCACAGCCACATTTTGTTCACCCATCACCGGTTGGCGGACGCCTGGGTTGTTTCCACCGTTGACGATTGTGAATGCTGTTGCTGGGCACACGGGTGTACAGGCATCTGTCCGATCCACTGTCGGTGCTTTTGGGTACACACATACCCAGAAGCAGAAGTGCCGGATCCTATGGTAATTCTGTTGCTTAATTTTTAAAGGAGCCTCTATACTGGTTTCCATAGCGGACTTCAGATTTAAGGCGGGCGCCCGCGGGGCTGTGGAGGAGGGAGACGGGAGGCAGACGGGAGGAGGCTGGCAGGCCAGACAGGAGCGGGGCTGGTGGGGGAAAGACAAAAGGGTTTCTTCAGAACCGAGCCTTTTAATGACACACCTGCTTTCCTTGCCTCCACCTTCTTCCCTCCTTCCTTCCCCGTTACCCATTTTCAGGGGGTGGGGGAGCAGTGGGGTGGGCAGAGCCATCTGCAGTGAAGGAGCCGCGGATGGGGAATCAGGACCTCCCAGTTCTGGTCCTGGCTTTCGCTGTCCTCTCTATGTGTGACTTTGGGCATGTCAATCGCTTCTCAGTCCCCACCCCACCCCCGCCCCCAAAACCGTGCCACACAGTGCACCGCTGTTTGGGAGCTGCTTCCTGTCCCTCGTCACAAGCTGATCCAGGTTCAGAAAATGCCCTGTGATGGGTCCTGAGGGGGGTGTGGACCTTCCGACAGGTGACTGGGTGTCCCTCAGCTCCTGTGCAGAGCAAGGGGGTTGGTGAGTGAGAGGCCCAGGAAGCGGGCCTAGAAGCTGATTAGCGAAGAACGGCTGGCTCCCGGGGCTGGTGGGAGAGGGGCCACTGGCCTGCTTCTCTGCTGTCTGTTCAGGGTTCCAGGGTGATCTTGCATCTCCA